GAAAATCCTTTTTTTTTTTTTTTTTTGGGTCTAGTGTGAGAGGGTATTTTAAAAATTAATTATTTTTGAAAGTACAAAATAGCCTTTCATAAAACAATTCCATATTCACGTAGGTCATTTTTCAAATCCAAGTTAGTGACGTTTGACTTCATATAAATAGTACACTATAAATAACACCATAGTAAGGGCAAGGGAAGGAGGTAGCTGAGTCAAAATACTAGCAAAGCCATATTGACATTTCTATTTTGTAGTGGGCAGTGTGAAGGTAGAATGAAAAAGTTTAGCTTATTTGATTCATCCAATTCTCTTGAAAAAGATATTTTAAAATTAATTATTAATCAGGAATAGTTTTACTTACAATCTTAATATTACTGCGGGATGATTAATGATCAGTCTATTAAATTGACTGAATTAAAAACAATAATACTGGGCTTCCCTGGTGGCGCAGTGGTTGAGAATCTGCCTGCCAATGCAGGGGACACGGGTTTGAGCCCTGGTCTGAGAAGATCCCACATGCCGCGGAGCAACTGGGGCCCGAGAGCCACAACTACTGAGCCTGCGCGTCTGGAGCCTGTGCTCCGCAACAGGAGAGGCCGCAACAGTAAGAGGCCCACGCACCGCGATTAAGAGTGGCCCCCGCTCGCTGCAACTAGAGAAAGCCCTCACACAGAAACGAAGACCCAACGCAGCCAAATAAATAAATAAATAAATAAAATAAATTTATAAAAAACACACAAAAAACAAGAAAACAATAATACTACAACATTTCCCTCTTCTCACTTGGCATTAATTTTTCCTTGTCATTTTTTTCAAAGTGACAGCATATATGGTTTGAGTCAAATAATTACAAGGCTCGTAACAATAAACAGAAGGCCCTGCTCCATTGGTCGTCACTCTGATGCCTGCTTCTCAAAGGAAAACTGCTGTTCTACTATTTAACTCCACGTTTCTAAAGAGCACATTTCTTTTTTTTTTTTTAATTAATAATAATCTTTTATTTATTTATTTATATTTATTTTTCGCTGTATTGGGTCTTTTTTTCTGTGCGAGGGCTTTCTCTAGTTGTGGCAAATGGGGGCCACTCTTCATTGCAGTGCGTGGGCCTCTTCACTATCGCGGTCTCTCTTGTTGCGGAGCACAGGCTCCAGACGCGCAGGCTCAGTAATTGTGGCTCACGGGCCTAGTTGCTCCGCGGCATGTGGGATCTTCCCAGACCAGGGCTCGAACCCGTGTCCCCTGCATTAGCAGGCAGATTCTCAACTACTGTGCCACCAGGGAAGCCCTAAAGAGCACACTTCTATTGCCATGGCTTAGTTATTCCGTTTTAGCCATTTTATGCCATTTACTAATTTCCCAATATGCTTATATCCCATTGTTCAGTGTTTATATATTTTAATCTCTATTTTATATATTGTCCACAGCATCCCATGTTATATCAGTCAGGAGAGGTTAATTATGTTGCATTAACAAATTACCACAAAAACCTCAGTGGCCTACAACAATAAAGGGTTATTTCTCATTTACACAGCATGTTGGCGGCAGGCCAGCTGCAGTTGCTCTGCGGTGTCTGCATTCAGGACTCAGATGGCCAGAGGCAGCCTCTAACAAGTGCCCACCTTGTGGCAGGCCCAGAGACACGGCTCTAAAGCTTCTGCCTGTGCCTCTATTTCCCTGGCCACCGTAATTCACCCTGCCGGGTCTGACATCAATGGGGCAGGGAAGTATAATTCTCCTCCAGGAAGGTAACATCAAGTATTAAACAATCATATAGTCCACCACAATTATTTTGTTTTCCCTGGAATTTATAGCCCCCTCTTCCTTGGGTTGCTTAGTTTTCTCTATACCCTATCACCATTTCATCTCTATATGTTCCACCAGAGCTGTGAAATTTCTCTCATAAGGTTCAAACACAGTAGGTAATCGATCAATTCTGTGGCTTTTATAGTTGTTGTTTTGTTTTTTCCTTGGAGACATCCCTTCTGGAGCCCTCCATCCTCCTGTGTCAGAGTAGACTGTTTGCTCTCCAGGCCTGCTACACAGTCGTCATCCTGGAACTTCCCTTCACCTTTATCTCAGGAATTCTCCCTATTTTCTCTTTTGTTGGAGCTCCTGTTTACCAGGTAGGTCCTATGTGTTTCTGTTTCTTGGTTTACACCCTTATTTTGATGAGGCATCTCCCTCTAGTAGATTCCTGAGCATATGTGAGTTAAAATTTTTTACTTTGACATCTTTTTCTGCTCCCTCCATTGTCTCTGTTTCTTTTCTTTTTTTCTTCTTTTTTTTTTTTTTGCGGTACGCGGGCCTCTCACTGCTGTGGCCTCTCCCGTTGCTGAGCACAGGCTCCGGACGCGCAGGCTCAGCGGCCATGGCTCACGGGCCCAGCCGCTCCGCGGCATGTGGGATCTTCCCCGACGGGGCCACGAACCTGTGTCCCCTGCATCGGCAGGGGGACTCTCAACCACTGCACCACCAGGGAAGTCCCTCTTTTCTTTTTCTCTTCTTCTTCTTCTTTCTTTCCTTCCTTCTTTCCCTCCCTCTCTCTCTGACTTTTTCTTTTTTTCTTTCTTTACCCTGTTTGTTCATTTCAGGCTCTTTCATGTAAGGAGGTTTCTTCAAATATCTGGAGATCCTGGACGATTCACTATTGACTAACAGTGGATGAGAGCTTCTGTTGGTAGGAACAGGACTTGTCTACTGTTGGGCTTCATTGTAAAGAGATAGGTGACAAGCCACATTCTCCATTACAGAAACCCCAATTGTCAATATTTGTAGGCCTTTACTCTTGGACCAGCTGGTTTTCCACCCAGAGGAAGCTTCTAGTTCCCTGACATGATCCCAGCATTCTAGAATCTGAATTCGGGAATGAAGCTGGGGTGGGGGGGATATGTCTCACAACTCAACATGCATAACTTCATTTAATTCTGCTTTTCTATGGAGTGAGTCATCCCTGTCCTTAGCTCTGCCTGGGGTCCAGAGGAGCTCTGCGTCAAACTCTCCAGAAAGTAAACTTCCTGTCTGCTGAGTTAAGGCAGGAGGGAATGGGTTAGGGACTGGGGGAAGGAAGGATCCCACTGTTCATCATAAAGTCTTCATAATAAATTCTCATTCTCAGTCCCACTCTACTTCTGCTTTCAGAGGTGCGGCAGCTCTAGCTTCAGACCCTTTCCAGGGTCTGGGATGTGAAAAGATTCACTCTGGCTGGGTCAACCTCCTCCCAGAAGCTTAGATATTAAATTTCTTAGTTTGGGTAAGTTAGTTGTCACTCATCCATCTCCTTCCATGTTCCTAAGTTTGTTGACATCCTTCTTCAGCAGGGATCTTTTTTCCTGTTTGCATTGTCTTTATGGGTTTATACCTTTTTTATCCCTTCACTCTCATTTTAATGAGGTATCTGGAGTGAGTAGGGAAAAACATGTGATCAATGCACCGTGTTTAACCAGAAGTCTCCTTACCATTAACACGAATAGATGTAACGAACATGTTTTCTAAGTGGGAAAAGTCCAACTATAGTTATAGGCAATTCCATAAGAATTAGATATAGATTAGTACAATAATATACCTAAATTTTATTGAGTGCTTATATGTGCTAAAAAGTCTTTTAAATGCTTATATGTATTATATATATTAATATTTTATCCTCACAATAATCCCATGAGATGGATGCTGTGATTCAACACGTAGCAGTCTGACTCCAGACCACCTATGCTATATAATGGGGTACTTCATGTTTTAAACTACAGGTAATCTTGTTATTTTCAACTTGTCAGGCCTCTAATCAATCCCTATTTATTGTTAGCTTAAGCTATAGCTGAGGTTTTTCACATAGAATTTTAACATTTACAGCACATTATTTGATGTGGCAAGGCTAGCATCACTTTGATGTGTCTATTTGAAGATACATGTTGGAGGTAGAAGGAGTAGTTTATGACAAATTTTAAAGCATAGTCATTTAAACTGGGAACGCTGGCATGTGTTTGTTTTATAATACAGACAGATGGGCACTTCCTCTTAAAGAAAGCAGTCACCATCTGTAATCTGAGAGGTCAAAGAGAAGCAATTAGAAATCTCACATTAGTAACAAAACTTTAAAGTGCCTGAAACATGCAAGAGTTTAACATCTTAAATCACTGATGGCCTTGAACACCTTAATTCAGAGCATTCAGCCCCTCATTCTTTGAAGATTTTAGGACCAGGCTCATTATCACTCTCTTCAAAGCTACTCACTACTCCAACACCACTGTCACGTCTGCAGATAATTCTTTGCAAGATATAGATATAGACATAGATATCTTTCAAATCCTTACTGCCTCTCAGTTCCTTGACCATCTCTCTTGGAATGATCTTTGCCCTCTGCCATCGCATCTATCTATGGTCATTCCCTACACCTTGACATTACTGATATTACTTCTAATTTTAATTTCAAGCCTACTACTCTCCAACCCCTCTCTTCTCTTTTCAGGTCATTCTCTACGGTACCTAAACTCCAACAATTCTTCAACCTGATCAGAAACACCATTCCATTCACCCTCCCATCTTTTCACAGTTCCCCACCCCTCTCAAAGCCTTATTTCTTACCACATCTGAAATTATAATGCCTCCTTTGCATCTACCCTCAACTACCCTTTGCCAATCTCTCCCCATCCTACTTGCCCAGCCAAATCTCAGTCCTGGGTAATCCAAAACTGCCTACTCAGTGCTTGCGCATCTCATGAGCAACTAAATCTGTCTGGAGAAAAATGCACAACCATACTGGCTGGTCTCACTATAAATGCATGGCCACTCACTCAGGTGGGCGTTATGAGTGCCTGGAAACCTTACCATGTTTCCCTCATCAATTCCCTCTCCCACACTGACAGACTAGAATTTCATCTCTCTTCTTCCCTCCCTCCCCTGCTAACTCCCCCCTCATTACTTTCAGTTAATAACTACATGAGCCACAGTAGGCTAAACTGTTATAACAAACAAAAATGTTATGGCTCCCACTCAATAGAAATTTATACCTTGCTCACAAAATAATCCAGAGTGGGTGTTCCAGGTCAATGGGCAGCTCTCCTTCATCCCTGCACGTTCTTTCTTGTGGTTCTGCCAACTCCAGGGACTTGTAGTCATCTGCATAATCCAGCTGGCAGGAAGGAAAAATGCATGAAGGAGGCACACTAGCCTGGCAGTGGCCGACATCATCTCTGCTCACATTCCAGTAGCAATAACTTCACATTTGACCATACCCAACTGAAAGAAAGGCTGAGAAAAATAGTCTCTGTGGTCAGGAAGAAAGAGAGAATACATTGTGATGGACAATTAGCAGTCTCCCAAAATGATCTTGTTTCTTATTTCACTGAGAAGATAGAAGAAACTAGAAAAGAACTTCTACTTTGTCCCACTATGAAATCCACAAGCCTACTTTAATATGTCCCATATATGTGGGGGCTGGAGGGATTATATTTCTAGGCTGTCCCCAATCACAAAGGGGCAGTTTCCAAGCTTTCAGTTAGAACAACATGGTCATAATGACCACACCACCTAATCACAAAGTTCAAACATAACTTCTTTCCTTGCACTTTTTGACCTCTGTGGTTTTGGATATTGTGATCAACTCTCCTTCCGGCCCCTGTCTTTGTGAAACTCCAATGTATCTTGCTTTGGTGATTCTGTGTTTCTCTGGTTCTCCTCCCACTTCCTCCTCTCTTTCTTTGCTGGCTTCTCTATCTAGGTTAGATCCCTTCTTTATTTGTTGGCTTTTCTCATCTAGGTCTGAGCTTCTTAAACTTTAATGTGATACAAATCACTTGGGGTTCTTGTTAAAATGAAGACCTGATTCAGCAGGTCTGGGGTGGGGAGGGCTGAGATTCCACCTTTCCAACAAACCCCCTGGTGATGCTGGGCCAGTGTGGCTGGGCCACTGACCATGCTTTGAGTAGCAAGGTTCTAAAGAAGATGTTCTCCAAGATTCTGCCCTTTGTTTTCTTTTTTTCTCTCACAGTGATATCACTGCTGGGCTGATAACTTCCCAATCTATTTTCTAGTTCAACCCTCTTACCCTTACTTCAAAACCTTTACATCTAACTTCTCAGGGTCCACCTCTATCTGGCTGTCTCAACAATCTTTCAAACGCTTAAAATGTCCAAGTGTAAATTGATCTCTCAAGAAGTTCCTATTCCTATCTCTAATTGTCTTTTTTCTATCTTCTATAATTATCTCCAAACTCAAAACCTCCATTACCTTTTATTTTTCTCTTCCTCCTCCATGTATGTTCTCAAGCAATCCCCTCTTACTGGAAAACCAATTAATCAAATGCCAAATTCTGTAGATTCTGCTTCCACATCATCTTTTAGCCAAGCTCTTTTAAATTCCTCCTGCCTTACCTTTAGTTCAGATTTATCATTACCTTTTACCTGGCCTATCGCAAGTCTATCTGACCATTTTCCCACCTCTCATTTCTGTATCCATTCATAGAGAGATCAAAGAAAAGCAAGGTTTTTAAACCCCCAAACTTTTAAACCACAAAAACTAAGTAATGATTTGAATACAAATTCTTCCACTTGGTATCCCAGGCCCCATTCTCCTCTGTGTCTGCCACTTCTCAACATGCCCTAGAGCCTTACCATTTGCTTTTCCTGAACACAACTTCCATTGATTCACCTTCATATATGTTCTCATGCTGTCTCTTCTTGCTGTAAAACCATCCCCATCTCCTTCAAGGTCAATCCCAAATGCCTTCTCCTCCTTACTCCCTTTCTTTCCTGATTCCCCACACAGGTCTGAGCAGTTCCCTGATATTCTGCAGCACTCTGTATTTTTCACATGGCATCTGTCATGGTTTGTCTTTTAACTGTTTTATCCTTGTTTTATTTCTTATTTTGAAGGCAAGGATAACAGCTTTAACTCCCCTCTGTAACCCTGCAGCATCTTACCTATGGGGGCGTCTACTATTAGTTGAAACAAAGTGATTTAGGAAGATAATGTGACACAACGGTAAGCAGCACAGAATTTGAAGTCAGGACAGCTGTGTTCCGGCTGTGCCGTTTATTAGATGTGAGGCTTTGGGTAAGTCACTTAACTTGGCTTGCAAAATGAGAATCCTACTACCTGATGGAGCACGAAGGGAGGTAACGTGAAAGTGCTGTAACTCTACAGAGAACTGAGCAATGTTCATTATTTTCCTTACAGAGAACTGATGCAGTCTTTCTATTCAAATCTTGTTTGCAGGACCAACCCTACTTCACTAACTGGAGGTCGAGCCCGGAGGGGCTGGGAATTCGGGCCCCCGCGTTCCTCTGGCCCTTTTCCACTGCAGGGCTCTCTAACTGCTCTCCGCGATTCAGGTGAAGCGGCCGAACTGCGGGGAAATAGCCTGGAGTCCTATTCTCTCGGGAGGCCTCCGTCCTTCCACCTACCCCGGGTAAGCCCTGCTCTTCCCGGTCACCCCGAAGACCGCGGCGCCGCCGCCTACGTGAGACGTTTGGACCCTGCCCGGCCCCCGTAGCTCCCCTTCTCCAGCAGGTGGGTCTGGTTCTTTCCCCCAACTCCGGGCGCTCACGTCACCCGCGAACCCCTACCCACGCGACAGCGCAGCAACCAACCCAGAAAATAAACAAACCCCCGCGCGCGGCGGCGGGCGCGTCAGGCCCCTCCCCCGCTCCGCCCCGCGGCTCTCACGCCGCCCCCTCCGCCGGGACTTCCCTCCCGCCCTCGGCTCGCGGCCGCGTTTTCCCCGCCCCTCACCGCAGCCCGCAGCCGCGCTCCCCGCCGCGGTCCGCCCGGCCCGGCGCCCCGGGGCCCGTTAGTGCTCCGCGCCCGCTCGCGGGGCCGCCGTGCGACCCCCGCCCGGAGCGAGCCCGCCCCTGGCCCCCGACACTTGACCCAGCGCAGTCCCAACGCCCAGTGCGGCCGCCCCAGGAGCCGCGGAGCGGCGGCGGCGGGGGGAGGAGGGAGAGGAGGGCCGTGCCGGCGGCCGGGGAGGCCCGGTGAGTACGCGGAGGGCGGGCCGCCTCGCGGGGGACCGCTCCGGGGCCCCTGAGGCGGTGGTGGCGGCTCGGCCGCGCTGCTCCGTGCGCCCCAGTCTCGGCAGTTGGGGACTCGGCCTGAGGATGGGCCCCGCTGTCCGGAGCCGCTGGGCAGAGTGCGCGGGAGGGCCGCTCCTTGGGAAGGGCCGCGGCCCCGACGCTCGGCTCTGGTCTCGGGGGCGGCGGAGAGAGACCCGCGCCGACCTCAGGCCCAGGCGCCCGGGCGGTGCCTGCGGCTCCCGAGACCCCGCGGGGGCCGGGGCCGGGGTCGACCGCGGTCTCTGGGCCGTCGAGTGACAGGTGCCGCCGCCCCCTCCCCGCCGCGGGCATCGCGCTCCCGCCCGGGGAGCCAGGCGCTCGGAAATTTCTGGAGCTTCGACCTGACTCGCTGTTTTCTCCCTTTCAGGTTTTGAAGCCGCTTCTCTGCCCGAGTTAGGTCTCGCCCAGCTCTGTTTCCTTCTCTATGTACTTTGCACGAATAAGTTTTGGAGCATTGGTTAACAGCCTGTGGGTGAAATTTGGCTTTCATTCGTGAATGAGGTATAGTGAATTACTTTTTGAGTAAAGTGCTTCTTCTCCTCTCCGCTAACTGTTGAAGAGTAAAAGGGAGAAGGGTTTTGAATTTTGTTTGTTTTTTGTAGTTATTGTTTGGAACAAGCAGTCTTCCAGAATTTTTGTCATCTCTAGCACTTAGGGTGCTTGGTAGATATTGAACAGTGATAAAAAATGACTTATTAAATTGTCTTTTCTCTCCTCCTTGTTTTAGATTTTTCATTCTTACCTTAGCTAGATTCTACAATTGAGTAGGTGCTATGGCTTTCATTAGAAGCACTAATGAAAGATCGTCTTTCCTCTACTGAAAAGCCAGTGAAATTTTCTCTGCACTGTTCATTACTATTTCTTTACGTAGTAAACGTGCTTGTGATTGTAACCTGAATCATCAGTTTAATAAATTTGACTTGCAGCCATAAGAATATTGAACTTTGTGGCAATTAAAAATTTTTTAAATCTTTAATCTGTGGAAACGTAGTTTTTTTTCTCAACAGGTTCATAACACTTAAGTTCTCGTCAGTCAAATCCTAATTAATGGAAGATATTGTCATAAATGGTTACAACAAACTTATCTATAAGATAATCAGGTGGCTTCACTCTTTAAGAGTGAAGAACCCAGAAGTTGACCAAGAGATCACTGGGGCAAATGAAAATACATGTGCTTTATTTATGGGCGAATCCCTTAGGTCCTCAGCCGGTACCTGCTTGTACTTTTTGCCTAGGTTTTTCAACCCACAGAAATTAGGTGATGCAGATTGGAGAGGGGAGGCAGTATTTAACTATGAAGAAAAAAAATGGAATTTAGGGCATACCCATTAAGTTTTTATGGTTTGTTTGCATTAAGTTTGTTGCGAGCAAAGTTTTGGTATGCTCTTGGCACTTACTGGTTGTGAACCTTACTTTATAAGAAGCCAAAGTGAAAGATATTGTGTAGTTGTGTTATTTGAGGAACAGAACGTGAAATAATACGATAAAAAAATTTCACCAGGTATTAAGTCATTCATACTCAATGCCATTTCATTTTATGGTTTTTGTTTTTTTTTTAATCTAAGCTACATTTCAGTGAGACCACACTATCTACATGGTATTCACTTCTTTTTTCATCAGGCTTACTGGTCGATAGTGTTAATAGAAGATGACTATCATTACATTTTATAAAAGGGATATATTTGGTCTTGATTGAGGAGCTTATACATATACCAGTTTTGAAGTGCCCTAATTGTGGTTCCCTGGACCTGAGGTATGGCTACTCCTACCATCTTTCTTGACCTTAGAGAGATCATAGTCTAAAGGGATTACATCATAGGGGCACTGGTCCTCAGAACCTTAGTAGAGGAGCCCAAGAGGATCAGCTGTTTATAAATCCTTCTGCTTGCAGTTTAGGCTATTCATTTTAAAAAGTAGTTTACTTAAGCTCCTCATGTATCCTAGTTCTTTTTAATCAATACTTTGAAACCAGTTGTGTTTCCTAAACAAATATGTTTCCTAAACAAAATTAGTTGTGGTGATAATCAGTTAGTAGAATGGCCCTTACAATGAAGCAACTTTG